GTAGGTGAGGAGGGTGGGGGTGGTGGTAGGGACAGGAATACACAAATAGGAATAATACACTGAACGCAGGGCAATGCCGAGGAAGTACCAGACGCCGTGCAGCAGGATAGCGTCAGGGGAAAGTGTGTTGCACCGCATGACAAGGGTACGTTAGAGGGATCCCGTCTGGGGCGGGAAATGCCTTCTCCTAGTCCAATTTTCTGCAACTGGACTCTTCCCATCTACTCCCAGGATCCTCACCCTCGGAAATCCCACCCTCTCCCACTGGGCTCCAATCAGGTAAGCAACCCCTCCCCCCATATTCTATTTTTCCTTTCCTATTAACTCTTCCTATGCTTGTCGCCACCTTCTCCGCCTGTCATGCTGTCTCTCCGCACAATTCCCTTTCTTCCTTGTGCTCCGTGCCTTTCTAGACACAGAAAAGGAGGTGCGGAAGTACAAGCAAGGTGGGAAGCTAACACACACACACACACACAGGAGCCACAGGAAACTGTAACAAACAGGGGCACAGGAACGAGCAAAAAGGGAAAAGCCAACCGAGGAGGTTACCAAGTACACTGGAGTCACACGGGAAGCACGAGGATACAGGGAAGCAAGGGGGGAACGAGGCCAACGCAGGAATTCAAGACAGTACGGGGGACCACAGCACAGGAGAGATAGGGAACGTCGGGATCCAGAAAGGGACACAAGAGATCACAGGGGGTCCGGCACAAGGGACAGGAGTTGTTCCTCGAAACAAAAAAACAACAAGTGAGAGAGTGCTAAGTATAGGGGAGGAGGTGTGCCGATTGGCTGCAGCCCTGTGGAATCCCATATGCTGACAGCCAAGCACCAGGAACCCACATGAAAACCTGGCATGGATTGCTGGACATTGTGACAGTCATAGATAGGCTTGGGGGTATTCGGGTATGCGCCGTTCTTTCATCCGCTCAGGGCGGCTTTGTGTCAGAATTTTTTCTTTAATATGTTACTGTCCTTAATAAATCTTAAAGGAGAACTATGGGGAGTGATTTTCGCTCAGCCTCATAGTTCTAGCCGACCTGTGACAATGAGACTGTCAGTAGATCGGGAACACATACCGGCGTTCGCTCACTTCTCGATCCTGTGCCGGCAGAGAGCCGTGACAAGGGGAGGGACTGGATTCCCCCCTCCCCGCTCTGATCCTCCAGCGCTGACTGGCGGAACGGACGGGGGAGGCAGCGGGTACAGCTGGCTCTGCCTCTAGATAGGCAGATCCAGCTGTCACTCACGCAGCTGGGCGGATCCAGACAGTAATGTCGGGATCCGTCCCGGCTGCGGCGTCTCAGTATACCGCGAGCTGCAGCTCCCTATATACTGAGCTTTGGGTGACGGGAGGACGCTAGTTTGTGTTCTCCCGTTACCCTAAGGAGAACTACGGGGAAAAGCCCCGACCCTATAGTTCTCCTTTAATTACTCACCATCATGCTGTGAATCATTGATTTGCGTATTGAAAAGAACCAATACTGACGAGGAAGCCTACTGCAAACGTGACCTTATTTAACGTTCCAAGCAGAACTCCAGCCAAAAAGAACACATAGAATGGAGTAGCCCATTCGAAGATAAAATAACCAAACCGGCTTTGCTGCAATATTCAGCTTCACTCTGGAGGTTTCTGCCACTCGGTATGTTTTCTGCCACTCGATGTCCTCAGTGTGATGGTCTCCTCATTCAAACCCACTTCCTCTGAGCCATCAATAATTATTATTAATAAACTGAAGAAAGGTTACTAGAGACTCCATTGCTGTATTGTCAATAGTAATAGCCAGAGATCTACGAAACATGTCACAAAATGCATCTACCCTAAACGTATTGTGCTACATTGTAATACTGACCATTGAATACAAAATAGATCTGTGCTTCTTCTTCTTCTTATTATTATTATTAGGGATGTCCCGATACCGGAGCTAGCATCGGTATCGGGACCGATACACGGCATTTTGACAAGTACTTGTACTAATCCCCCGATGCATAGCTGTGGGCGGCGCTCCAAGTGGGGTCCTAATGTAGGTGGCCAGCGACTGCCCAGAGGACCCCGCCTGGAGCGCCGCCCACAGCAGTGACTCGACGCTCCTCCGCTCAGCGCCGACGACGTCCTCACATGTGAGGAAAATCGTTTGGCACATCGCGAGGCACCGCGATCGAGGCAACAGTAAGTAAGACGGGGCGGGGCTTAGCGTTTTGTGTGAACAAGAAGAATCTATTGCTGCAGTGTATTCTATATGTACTGTACTAAGTACTACATATTCCCAATACACTGCAGTAATAGCTTTACAATTCTGCACTGCTAACATGAAGCGGTTAAATGATCCGTAGTACAACTACATGTTCTGTACTATGGATCATGATTTAACCTATTCATGTTAGCAGGGGAGAATTGTAACTCTATTACTACAGTGTACTGGACGTGAGTGCTGTATATGTACTATAGATCATGATTTAACCCATTCATGTTAGCAGGGCAGAATTGTAACTCTATTACTGCAGTGTGCTAACCCCAAATCCACAACCTCAAAAAAGTAGATTATTACATGCAATCAATAAAACAAGGATTGTACATAGAACAATATCGGACCTCTGAAAAGTACAAGCATGCATATGTACTCAGTACTTGGTTTGGGCCCCTTTTGCAGCAATTACTGCAATTACTTTTGCACGATATTCTAATTATTCGAGTTTCACCTGTATACAGCACACACCTCCACTACACTCCAGCAATAGAGTTACAATTCTACCCTGCTAACATGAATAGGTTCAATCATGATCCATAGTACATAACATGTAGTTGTATTAGGGATCATTTAAAGTCACCTGTCCCTTTAAAAAAAAGTATCGGGAAGTACTTGTACTTGTACTTGGTCCTGAAAAAGTGGTATTCGGACATCCCTAATTATTATTATTATTATTATTCATTTATTTATTTAGCACCAACAGTTTGCGCAGCACTTTACAATATGAGGAATAAATTACAGTTACAATACAATTCAGCACAGGATGGTAAGGATTTATTCAAAAAGTTGGCAGGATCCCCAAAGCGTCTGACATCACAACCCTATAAATTATAACAAAATCTGTAACAATGGGGGTTTCAAAGATGTCACAAACCACAATATAGAGTTTTCACAAAGATAATGTGATATTGAAAATCAAATTTTGTATTAAGATATTATAAAAACTCTGTTGGTAATCCACATATATACTCTATATTGCCAAAAGTATTGGGCCCCTCTCCCTCCAAATCATGTGATTCCGGTCCTCCAATCCCCTCCGTGGCCCCCGGTGTATAGGATGAGGCCCCTCGGCATGCAGACGCTTCTACAGACATCGGTGAGAGAACGGGTCGCTCTCAGGAGCTCGGTGACTACAAGCGTGGTGCCGTGATAGGTTGTCACCTGCGCAATAAGTCCGTCCGTGACATTTCCCGGCTACTAAATATTCCGCCACGGTCGCCTGTTACTGGGATTATAACAAAGTGGAAGCAACCGGGAACAACAGCCACTCAGCCAGGAAGTGGTCGGCCACGTCACATGACAGAGCGGGGTCGGCACATGCTGAAGCGCACAGTGTGCAGAGGTCGCCAACCGTCTGCAGAGTCAATAGCTACAGACCTCCAAACTCCATGCGGCCGTCAGATTGGCGCAACAACAGTGCGTAGAGAGCTTCATGGAATGGGTTTCCATGGCTGAGCAGCTGCATCCAAGCCGCACATCACCAAGTGCAATGCAAAGCGTGGGATGCCGTGGTGTAAAGCGCGCCGCCACTGGACTCTAGAGAAGTGGAGTTTTGAGGAAGGGGCGTATTTTGGAGATGTTACGGAGGTGAAGGCGGTAGGATTTGGATGGTGATTGGTTGTGGGGCAGAAAGGTGAAGTCAGAGTCCAGGATTACACCTAGCACCTTGGCATT